TTTGTTTTAAAATCCCACCTTATTCTGAATAGGTTTAACCTACATTTTAGCCCACAGATGGTGCTTGTGGGTCTGATAGAAAATGAATGATCGTAAGTCTGGACACAGAACGTCCCCCCCACTGCCCCCCCACCGACACACACTGCATCCTAGGACGCAAGTGCTATCAATGCCTTTGCCATGTGCAGGCATAGAAGCCCGGGACTAAAACCAAAATGACCTGGGCCCTGGAAACCTGGATCTATACTGAGCCCTTTCTGAATCCTGGGGCGGGGCGGGGGGGAGAGCAGGGGATTTAGGGGCAGGAAAATTCTTTTTAACACTTTGGCAAGTAAGTATACAAATGACTACTTCTTGATTGTCACTTTTATAAGGAAATCTCATTCCACCTCTTGAAAAAGATATTCTCCTCTCTTATTTGACTTCCTCTCAAACAACTGGAGGGCAAACGTCTGTAAAACAGAGGTGGACAAAAACCTCTTGTAATAATGATTAGTTTATAATTTTTCACTTTCTCTATTTAAAAAAGCATATAAAATGTATAGTCTATCACTGACAACTAACACTAAAATATTGCTCATAATGGAGGTTTGGAAACAACATGGCTAAATTTTTTTTTTTTATTTGGGTCTCTATATATTTAATTCTCTTAAAATAAACTATATATCACACCTCTGACAAAATAATATTGGCTAATGCAAATTCTACTGCTCCTCTTAACTTTAATACCCTCACCGAGGTATTAAAATCAATAATGAGCCAGGAAGTATGGGGCCTGGTAATTCACAGAGCTAATATTTTTCTAAAATGCTATGGTTAGCTATATATTAACTTTTTTCTGACAAATTCAAAGTTTTAAAAACAAGAGATTCAAGGATAAACAAGACTGCAATAGTCTTAAGAATTCACAATCTTGAAGAAATAGACTTTATCTATGCCCACAATGATTTTGCCCACTGTAACATGTGACTGTTCTATTCCAAAGGCTAATGAAGGGTATTAAGGAACACACAAGACCCAATGTAGAGTCCAAGTCATGACTTTAAAGGGTAAATTACCATTCAAGGTGCTGGGATAAAAAAAATTTAAACGTTACTGGAAATTCACTAGGTTAGGCATACCTTCGTAATTGTGGTTGATATTTTGAGAACAGGAAGAGAGAAATTAGAGAAATATATTTTAAAATAAAAATATGGCTCTGATTATGCAGTTCTTTCTGGCTACAGAAAGAATCCTTCATAGATCTACAGGAATGAATTATTGATCAAACTTCCACCATGAAGGAGTAAAGTTATCTTGTAAACCTGGAGGATTCTTAAGAGTTATGAATTATTGTAGAAACATTTAACTCCTAAGTTAAATGCTGCCATAACCCTACCTTCACATTGTTTGGTAGGGAGAGGAGCAGGGGAGGCAAAAAAAAAAAAAAAAAGAGAGAGAGAGAGAGAGAAGGTAGGTGCCTTGTGTCTACTAAAAGAGGTATACTTTCTGAATTGTACTCTTGGATATAATCATGGAATGGCTCCACCACATCAAAATCTAAACTTGGATGGATGTCGGGAAGCAGTTAACAAGCAATTAACAAAGCACCCACCCTGTGCCTAGAACCAGGCTTGTTGCTGTGGGGAAACAGCAAAGCAAGGAGGCACATACCATCCTGCCTCCAAAAGCATAAAATACCATTTAAAATGTGCTTTTTATTTATTTAAAAATTAGAAATTCTAAATATTATGTTGACGTTGACCTAAAGTCCTTTCTTAGGTCTGTATCCTTTCCAAGAAAAGCAGGTTAATTTGGGCTCTGTTACAACTGGCAGATACTGATAAATAACATACTCAAAAACAAAACCCTAGCAACTTGGTGATTGGTAGCTACTGAAACTGCTTCTGTAAATCACATTAAACTCCTTGGAGGAAAGGCATTACATAAATGCTAAATCGTAACACATACGTGAGGAAGACAGCTTTAAACACTCAAGCCCTGTTTGGTTACATTTTGTTAAAACTTACATTTCCTAAACTAAGCCTTATTTGTTTACTAATGACTTATATATCCCACTTTTTGACCATAAATATGATCAAGTGCTGCCAACCCATTTCTGAAAAGGTAATTACAACTCTTTATTTTAGATATTCACAAAAGCCCAGTTCCTGAAATTTGCAGGGGCCCTATCAGTGGACCACTTGACTGCAGACCACACCTCCAAGTCTGTGCCTTCAGCACAGACCACCTCTCCGAGGTATAACCCTCAAGCCCAGAAGGGTAAACTCAGGGAGAGCATATCTACCTTGACTTTGTGTTGGGCAATTGGAAAGATTTCGACAAGACCTCACATCTAGGTCCCTAGGAACCTCCAAACTTTAAGTAGCCATTAACCAAAGGAATATGGTATCTTTATCAAGCAAGTGGTCACTCAGAAAGACCTCCATGTCATGTGCTAGCAGAAATACATACTAAGGAGTGGGAGTAAACATCTCTAATGTTTCTAAGAGCCAATGGCTTTTATAATGAATTGGCCACTTTGCCCACATCACACATGCTATAATTGAAGCAAATACACCACGCAATATGGATTGTCATAGCATTTTTAACCCTCCATCAATATCCAACTTACATAAAATGGGCAGAGCGGTCAGATCTTAAACAGATGCTACAAGTCCATACAGCTCTAAATTACGAAAGTCCTATGTCTTACTAACAACACACAAAATATTAAAGGGAATTGCTAACTTGATGGGTTAATATTCTCTAAAACAACTTCTCACGCAATTCTATTGTGTCTTCAATATATATCATCTGAAAAAACATAAAATCGGTGAGCCATACAAATCATGTTATTTTGGAATTTGTACAGCTTAATGCACCCTAGTGGAAGTGTAATGTGTAATGATTATGTCCGTAAAATTATAAACCAATTTCACATTTAAAAATACTTTAATAATTCATTTACTCCTTACATCAAATCTGTGAGCAGTCAAAATTATACCCATATCACAGATAAGGAACTGGACGTTGAGAAAAAAAAAATTCAGAACAAGAATATGAATTTATTGTCTTTAAGCCCCCAGCCCTCCCAAGTTCTCCTTTCCTTCTTCTCTTCTAATTAATTCAGCGAAGTGGCTTATATGCACACTTATACAGGATTTCTTTACTAATCAACAGTTCTTCCACTCTTAAAATAAGTAGGACAAGCAAGGAAAACTAGTCCTTAAGGCAAATTAAAAGACAACAGAAACCTAAGCAAACATCATCCTATAATTAGGCTGTTTCACTTGCAACCTAATTCTGGGGTTTGGCACATGCAGCTGGGTAACACAGAGGGTCCCTACAGAAGCAGATGTAATCGCTGAAGCAGAATTTGAAATCACTCCAATATTTGGTTTACTTTCAGGTTCAGAATGAGGTCCTAATTGGGAAAGATCCAGAGACAGGAGTTTGGAGCAAAAACTAAACATTAAAATGTGGGAAAGGAGTTGCCCAAACTAAATTATGGTCACCTGGGTATTCCAATTCAACACCCTGATATATCCCATTCTACTCGACATCACAGTAAACAGGTATAAACCTTCTGTCACAAACCAGTATGAATAGTTAAGTTACACCTCAATCAATGAGTCTCATCCAGACTCTTTTAGGACACAAGTTATTTCTGTTATCTGTAAATGTTTGGCTTATAAGAATAGGGACATAAAGTATTTTCCAGTGTGCTAGTGTAAATCAACTTACACGGATTCTAACAAATACTGATTCATCTTAAAGACCTATTCATCAGGGAAAATGGCTACTTACTATATTTTGGTGAGAAAAAGGAAAAAAGAAGATTAAAATAATCTAAATTGACAGGATACAATAGACTATCCCCTAAGCTAAAGTTATCTCGATTAAAAAAGACCACAAATTTAAAAAAAAAACCCACAAATTAAAATCATTATTTTAAACATTTTCATATAACATATTGTTAAATTTGAGACTATGCCCACACTTATAAAATAGCCTCTAGGACCCTAGCTGATATGATAGGGACTCAAGAATATGGAGCAAATGGACATTATAATTTGCATTAATGATTTTTAAACCTTACTTTTTAATTAAACCTTCAACATTTCTCTTCCTTCCAAAAAGGATCTTCTGTTAAGAATTTGGATTCTAGGGTCGACTGGGCGGCTCAGTTGTTAAGCGTCTGCCTTCGGCTCAGGTCATGATCCCAGGTCCTGGGATCAAGTCCCACATTGGGCTCCCTGCTCCGCGGGAAGCCTGCTTCTCCCTCTCACACTCCTTCTGCTGTGTTCCCTCTCTCGTTGTCTCTGTCAAATAAATAAATAAAATCTTTAAAAAAAAAAAAAAAGAATTTGGATTCTATTTGGATCTTTAACAAGCCAAATTATCTTTTTTGTATGATATTTAAAATATGAACATCATTACTTAATATAATTATAAGAGGGAATTAAAGATTTGCTAAAAATTTCAATTTAATTACTAAAATGCAGCAATTTTACTGATTTTTTCCGGATAAAGTAGTATTATATATATGTATGTATATAAGTGTATGTGTGTATACACACACACATACTTTTTTCTGTCAGTTTTAACCATTTATTGACTTCAATTAACAATAAAAGTTCATGTGGACAGTAAAGCAGAGAATATTCTCTATGGCGGCTTTAAAGTGCATTTTTTAACCCAAAAATGTTATCCAGAGCCATTTTAGGCAACAATGGAACCAAAGTATAAATAGTAAAAATTCACATCCCCTTGAACAACTGTCCTTCCACTTAGAACACAGTGAACTTCTTAGGTAAGCAGAGTTTCTGTTCACTTAGCTGCAACCCCATTTAAGCATGGAATCAAAGCAGAAAAAAAAATGAAGAAGTGAATAGAAAAATAAGCATTAATATTAAATTATATACTAGCTGAGTGTTAGGTTCCCACAGAAATATTTTGCCGTGTATTTTTTAAATCACTTCTCAAGCATAGCTATTTTCATCCAAGGACCAATTTCCTTCATTTTCATTATCTTTTATAGTGAAATGCTCCATCTCAAGTTACTTATTGGAGCTATTACCAGCAAACACGGTCATACATGTCCAGTTTAAGATATGAATATCAGTGTAATACTTAGTTTCCATTATAAATAATATATGTATAAAACAAATAGGGCTGCCATTATTTATATACTGCACAAAAGACACAAGAATGAATACAAATTATTTTTCATAAAAATACAATTTCTAAATCAGTTTAGATTTCCAAACTATGAGGACATTAAATACTTAAAATACCAGGAAGTCTCTTCTGTTACAGAATGCCAGTCAGGAGAGATCTGAAAGAGATTCTTTATTGGTAGCCATATACAGTTGATTATACCATCTCTGTGTTTTCTTGCTATTTAAAATATAGAACCTGGACATTTAAAACATTATCAATGCAATAATCACTACAGACTGTCACTGGATCTTTTAAAATTTTGTTAAAAATTTCCAAAGTCATGATGAATACAATTATTGCAGCTACATCATTTGAAAAAGTAATATAAATTATGCTGCTAAAGACAAAAAACATTGAAACACATAAACATCACATAGCACAGCAAGAACTCATAACTATTTAATATGAAAAATTAAATTTAAAAAGTAATGTTAGAGAACTTGGGGAATTTTTCACTTTAGCAAAAACAATCTATGTATCTCCAACTTCTATGATACAGTATACAATAAAATACTTTTAAAAGATATGACATTCAAATGCTTCATTTACACAAATAATATTGCCAATACTAATAAAAGTGATGCCCTTAAACACAAACTGCTCTGTTGATTGTGATTTTAAAAATGTTTTCTTTACTTCATTTTACATTTTAGTTAGCAGTTAGCATTACATATTAATCAGTTCTGTGTTGACAAATAGAGAAGATCCTAGTCAAAATACTGTTGCTCAAAAGTAATGTACATCATATTGCTTGAAACTAACAACCATATAAAAGTGGTAATCATTTATCTAAACATTGATTATGAAAGACGACTGGCATATATTTGGGCAGAGTGTCAAGTTCATGATGGTTTATTAACGATAAAAGTACTTTTACTGAAGCTAACATGATATATAGGTTTCTATGTCAATTACTACAGTCTCTTAAAGTTATAAAAATATTATATAAAATACCACAGGCTTTAGAGGATATAACTTCATGTGGTTCTGATACTAGCAGCTGAAAAGTATTTATAATTTAAAAATAAATAAACTATAGAGGTAAACCAGTTACAAAACAGCAGAGGACTGTAATAGTCACAGAGTGAAAAGAATAGCTAACAAAATGGTGAAGCAGTTGGATCAAAAGTTTTAAAAACCTCTTTCAGAGATTTGTCATCTGGTTCTCTACTGGGATCACTTTCTGGGGTGGGGCTCATCTGTCCTGGCTGCCTGGACTGCCTTGGATCGCTGTACTGGGGTCTAATTAAGCCTGTTAATGCCTGAATAGGAAGACTGTGCACTGCTGGGACCTGAACCATACCAGGACTCCTGAGAATATCTGCCTGGGGATCAGCCAGCCCATCCACAGCGACTTCCACGTTTGCACTGGTTTTGTGTGGCAGGACTGCTTCTCCAGGAGAAGGCTCATTTTTGTCACTACTTTTTAAACCACCACTTTTTTTCTGGTTCTCTGCATTTTCTGTTGCTAGCTCTGATGCAGATGATGAAGCATGCTCCCTAGGGTCATACAAACTAATGCCACTAAGAACTGAACTTGGAGTTCCCAGGGGAAGGCCAGCTGAAGAGGAGAGTTTAGGGGCATATGGAGGCAAAGGCCCTGGCCCAGAACTGCTAGTCGCTGCCCCTGAGGGCTGTGACGAAGCAGGGTTAGATCTGGCTAAGTGAGGGGTGGCCTTTAATGTATGTGAGTCCTTCACAACAGCTGGGTGAGACTCTGTACTGTGCAGTCTATGAAGCCTAGGATCAAAATTTTTTTGCAGCCTAGGATCTCCTAATTTACTTCCTGAACTATGTAAGTCTCCAAATTGTTCTAGGTAGCCTTCTCTGTTTGTGGTGTTCACTTTGGCTTTGGCTGCTGATTTCGAATCAGTGGGCACTGTGTTCTGATGAAGATCGCTTTTTGTATTCCATAACCTATTGAGCCTCTGGTCAGCTATAAGAGGGGGCAGAGGTAAATTGATTGAAGATACTGGGTCAGGTTTAGGTAAAGGGACTGGAAGTAAGTCTTCTGGAGCCCACACGATGTGTTTTGCAAAGTTGGGTTTGGTTAGGATAATATCCATTTTAATGTGACTGAACTGCCTCAGCTGAGACCTTGGATCTTGGAGCATTATGCCAGGGGAAGAATCCAAAGGTATTAAGAAAGCTTTTTCTCTCAATTCTCTTTCTGTATCTTCATCATCATCATCTCCTCTTTTGTGTTTGACAGAGCTAGCATTTGCATGATGTGAATCAAACTTTGTTACACCAACAGAAGATCCTACGTGACCGCTTCCATTCCCTCTCAGTTTCCTGGGATCCCATGCAAGTCTAAGATCCAGTGGGGTAGATTCAGATTTTCTCATGTCTTGCCTTGTGATAGTCCTAAGTCTAGGGTCAACAACTTGGTTTCCTTTGCTTTTCTCTTTAGCAAGTCTTGGGTCAGTAGGAGTGCTGAGCTCTGTGGAAGGTTGTTGCTGATTCCTTAAAGTTTCTGTTTGTTTCTGTAATGTTTTCAGTATTGACTTCACACTGCTTCCTTCTTCCTCTTCACTACTTGAATACCAGTTAACAGTATCATCTAAATGCAGACAAAAAGTTATTATAAAGAATGAATCATTCATATTTGACCTTAATTAAAATAATTAAAAAACACACAGCACTTCTGGAATAAGTGTAGTCTAACTTCAAGAAAATGCATCAGAGAAATACCAGAGTTTCAATACTGGAATAAAATTAGATGTGGAATGACAATGATCAATTTAGTCATCATACTCTATAAAGAAAGAGGTGTGATATTGTAATATCTGTAACATCCTTCCAGTCAGGGAGAAGTCAGGACCTTTCACTCGAACTGGCCGAAAGGGAACTCAGAGTGTGTGTGGTATGACAGAGCTGGGGAAGAAGAGAAAATACTCTTGGAAAAGAATGCTAAAATGTTTTGGATCTCTTTAATTCAAGTAATACTTAAGCTTTGTAGCTCTGGATTTATCAAGATAACAAGGATGAAATATTTTTTAAGAATCTGGAAAGAAAACAAAACACTAATAGCACTGGTTAAGGAAGCAATGGGAACCAAGCAAATGAGGGATGAGGAAGAGATTTTTCATTTGTAGCTTATTACATTTTTAGATGTTTGACATATGTGAATATATTATTAGCTATTTAAACATTTAAAAGTAAAAATAACAAAACTAACATCCTGAAATTTATATACTTTAACTTTACGGGAACACTTTGGGCCTTACTCCCGAAGGTTTATATTTAACCCTAGTATGTTAGACACCCTGTTAAGAAGCTTAACTGTCAGAGGTGTTCTCTCTCGTAGTACAGCAGGGATTATAAACTGATGCTACAGGAGGGAGTCTCCTTCCTTTCCATTAAAACATACATACGTTGACTCTGAATTGGTAACACAAACACACACTCCCATACATATATATGTATATATCCTAGAATATTTTGGATTAATAGAATATTGGACATATTCTCATTTAACTCCTCTCACTGCTCACTAACATGTTTCTACTCCACGGAACTTTAGTGTTACACATTTAGTTTGAACAGAGTTACAAAACAGGCATTGGTATTTAGGGTGGAATTGGGGTTTAAAATCGTATAGACCATATATCACAATGGAAAAAAGTTTTGTTTTGTTTTTAAAGACTTTATTTTTAAGTAATCTCTCCATCCAATGTGGGACTTGAACTCACAATCCCAAGCATCAAGAGTCTCATGTTCCACTGACTCAGCCAGCCAGGCACCCCAACCCAATGGAAAAAAGTTTCACTCATATTTCAGTGTCAGAAAAAACTACTTCTAGACACTAGATCTCTTTTCTTCCTCTCTTTGACCTCAGGAAGACCAAAGCTGAACTAGTGATTCACTTTTACCTGTTGCCATTATTTTAAATATTTCTGCATAGCGATTTCACTCCTCACAGAATTTATTTGTTCCAAATAGGTAAGATGATCCAAATCTGACCCACAAAAGGAAGATGCTATTTTATTTTGACTTTCATATCAATATATTTCATAAGCAATCTTAAATCCTTTTTGGAATGAGAATGAATATAGACAGAAGGAAAGCAGACCAGTAGAGATAGGCCAATGGAAAGGAGATATTAGATAAGAAATGACAGTTATCAGCTTTTTATCAAAGGACAGATTAAAGTTATAAGGGCATTAAAATTTATAAAAATGAACATAAACACACAAAAAACCTAGCTGTTCACTACTAGGTATTTACCCCAAAGATACAAATGTAGTGATCCAAACAGGCACCTGCACCCCAATGTTCATAGCAGTAATGCCCACAATAGCCAAACTATGGAAAGAGCCCAGATGTCCATCGACAGATGAATAGATAAAGAAGATATGGTGTGTGTACACACACACACACACACACACACACCATGCAATATCATTCAGCCATCAAAAAGAATGAAATCTTACCATTTGCAATGACATGGATGAACTACAGGGTATTATGCTAAGCAAAGTAAGTCAGAGAAAGACAATTATCGTATAATCTCACTCATATGTGGAATTTAAGAAACAAAACAGGAGAGCATAGGGGAAGGGAGGGAAAAATAAAACAAGATGAAATCAGAGAGGGAGACAAACCATAAGAGACTCTTAATCAAAGGAAACAAACTGAGGGCTGCCTGAGGGGAGGGAAGTGGGGGATAGGGTAACTGGGTAACGGGCATTAAGGAGGGCACGTGATATAATGAGCACTGGGTGTTATATACAACTGATGAATCACCAAACTCTACTTCTGAAACTAATAATACACTATATGTTAATTAATTGAATTTAAATTAAAAAAAAAACCTAGCTATTCAAGATTTTTTCTGGATACGGAGAAAAAACCTTCATAAAACATCACCAATTATATTATTACACTACAAAATTTAAATCCAGAAAAACTGTAATTTTCTTGTTTATGAAAATGTAAACTTTTCTAAGACTTTATAGAAAGATTATCATTAAAACTGTTTTTTCTTAAAGTTAAGTTTTAGCACTTTAAGGAGCAAACATAAATTGTACAGGAAATTAACTTATTAGGAATCCCTCATTTCCCTGTGATGTTAAGTAAATGAAGAGTTAATGCTACAGATGTTTATATAATAGCTTGGAGCTACCTCATGTTATCTAGTTTTACATATTTATAAATTTTATGCTTAAGAGTGGGCAAACGGGCACCTGGCTGGCTTAGCTGGTGGAGCATGAGACTCTTGGTCTCGGGGTCATGGGTTCAAGCCCCACGTTGGCCATGTAATTAACTTAATAAAAAAAATATATATATATATGCAAAAAAGAAAGTGGGAAAACACATCAATTTTGTAATTCATAAGAAGAACTGGATGCATTAAGCTTTCTCTCCTTAACTGAATTAACTAATTGCTGTATACTTATTGATATCAAAAACACTAAGGTAAACTTGAGGTTTCCACATAATCTTTTATATTAAAAATAATATTCCTTCATAATATAGTAGAATCTTAAGTATACAGCTTATGCCCATAAAAACTTCTCTAATAACTGAATCATTTTAAACTTGGGCTAGAAGTCAAAATTCCTGAACTGGAAGATGTCTGGTTCCTATTCTATTTCTTTCTTCCATAAAAAGGGCTTCAGCCCAGGCCTCACACTATAGCTTCAGATATCACTGCTTCAGGTCAAACTCTTTGCAATTAATTACTAAAGCATTATTGGCACTGGAAACCACAATCAATTCCAAGCAGACACAAGCTACAAGGTAAACTGGAAATAGAATAGATAGTTCAGAGGAACTCATTTTTTAACCTATTCAAGAGCATTTCAGGAACTGAGTAATCCAAAGTAAGATGCTATCATAACACCTGACACACCTTCTTCCTTGCTTGGTGCCCTTTGAGGTTGGGTGCTGCTTGGTTCATCTTCTTCTTGGTACTTCTGAGTAAGTCTGACAAAAAGAGCTCTCTGCACTGCAGGGAGGAGGCCTGGTGCAGGCAGGGGGCCATGGCCTGTTGTGTTGCTGCTGCCGTCAGATCCACTTGCACGGTTAGGGGAGTCTTGAACAATGGTTGGCTGATGCTGGGCAAAGTCAACATGCCACATCCCATCTATACACACAACACAGAAAGACACAGACACTGATTTAGCACAGAACTCCACTAGAAATTGAATTATAAGAAATTATAAGAAATTGAAGCTTTAATAATAACTACATTTGATTACCAAATTATGTAATTGTAAATATTTTTTTAAAGATATTATTTATTTGAGAGAGAGAGAGCATGGAGGGGAGAGGCAGGGGCAAGCAGACTCCATGCTGAGCGTGGAGCTGGACGCGGGGCTTGTCTCACGACCAGGAGATCATGACCTGAACTGAAACCAAGACTCGGACGGTTAACCGACTGAGCAAGGCAGGCGCCCGATTGTAAATATTTTTTTAAAGCTATCTAAAGTTCTGGTGTAGCAAATGTTTGGTTAAATTTAAAATATATTTTATGGCTTCAATTTCATTACATTTTACTTAGCTTTATTAAAAACACACATTCTTATCATGTTTTTAATGAAAAATGGAGAACTCCAAAGATTTTAAATTAAAAATGAGTTATTTGAAAAGGTAAACTTACCACCAGAGTTATTGGGTGGCTGAAAATTATGTACAGCATGCTGTGAATAGTAATTATCATAAAATTCAGCTGGGTTTTGTAGGGACTCATAACTGGTGTTGAGCTGCATTTCACCAGTACTTTGCAGGTATGAGGAACCTGGAGAACAGTGATTCTCTCTAGGTACTTTCATCATATGTTCTGGAAAGCCCGAGCAATGGTAAGCACCACTCATACTCGGTGGTGTCAAAGGTGCATCTGGTTGAACAAGTACCCCAGCTTGACTGTGAGGACCTAAAATTCCAGGTGGAGCAGGTGGCAAAGGTGGGCTGAGTGGCACTGCTGCGCATGGATGATGTCCGGGGGAGCCCGGGTGCATCACAGGACTACTGTGTCCCTGAGACATATTAGGTCCAGGACCTGGACTTGATCCAGAACTATAGATATGTTGAGGATGTGGGCTGCTTTCCTGAAACTGTGGTCCTGGTGGTGAGGTACTGTTATAAAATGCTGGTGGCCTGTAGACAGAAAGAATAATATTTCTTAGCTCAAAGAAAAGAGGCAAACAAGAATGTTATATTTTTAAATATGTATTGGTTAAGTGTGTTTTTCTATATCAGAATGTGTTTTTTTTTTTTTAAAGATTTTATTTATTTGACAGATAGAGAACACAAGTAGGCAGAATGGCAGGCAGAGGGAGAGGGAAAAGCAGGCTCTCCGCCGAGCAGGGAGCCGGAACGTGGGGCTCGATCCCAAGATCCCAGGATCATGACCCAAGCCGAAGGCAGCCGCTTAACCGACAGAACCATCCAGGCGCCCCCAGAATGTGTTTTTAAGAAGCAGTTTATTCTACATTATCTCTAAATGAAAACACCAGTATAAGCATCTTGCCTTCATTTTAGCCCACAGTCTTAATTGACACCATCAGCTGTTCTAAAGCTTACAGATATTTTGAAAAATATAGAAAAGTACAAAGATAAATAAGATCACCTCTAATCCTGCCACCCAAAGATACATTTTTTGATTAGTTCTCTCCTAGAATTATTCTAGGCATACACAGACCTTTTTTATTTTTTTTAAAGATTTTATTTATTTGACAGAGAGACACAGCGAGAGAGGGAACACAAGCAGGGGGAGTGGCAGAGGGAGAAGCAGGCTTCCCGCGGAGCAGGGAGCCTGATGTGGGGCTCGATCCCAGGACCCTGGGATCATGACCTGAGCCGAAGGCAGCCGCTTAACTGACTGAGCCACCCAGGCGCCCCCACAGACCTTTTTTTAAATACAACAAAATTAGAATTATATATATATATACAATTTATATATAGAATTTATATTATATAGAATCTATATATATATAGAATTTATATTATATATAAACTATATAAACACACAACTTTTCAATTTCTCATCAATTACTGCTGGCATATAAAAAGACCTTTAGATTTTGATTGTTGTTCTTCTTTCTGGACATCTTACTAATTTAATTACTATTTCTAATAGTTTTATCCGTTGATTCCTTCAGGTTTACCAAGGGAAACCGCCCAAATAATGAGCTGCCTCTCCATTTCTAACCTTTTATCTATTATGTCTTTCTCTTTTTGCATTGGGTAGGATCTGATCTACAATATTAGCCAAACAGTGAACATACCTTGACAGAAATAATTTTAATGGTTCACATTAACTGTGACATTTCTTGTTCCTCATTTGCTGAGATCTCATTGCTTTCCTGAGTGTTCAGGGTTAAAATAATCAACAATGAGACTTAAGGCCCAGGTGCACATCCCTGGCAAAGGGCAGGACTGGAATGGTGTTGTTAGAAAATGCAAATCTGGATGCAGCTTACCCAAAGGTTTTCCTCTAATAGCCCAAGGAAATACTTCTCTAAAAGAATCAAATATTCTGGAAACATGCTAATGCCACTATTTGAAAATGTTATCAATGTCGAATGTAGCCTTGTAATGAATTGGCCAACATCATCCACCTGGCAGTGTCCTTCAGGGTTACTATGTGGAGAGGTTTCTGAAGCTGTTAAGGATTCCATAGAGAGAAGCACTGATGGCATGCAGCAGAGGGCAGAGACAAAGAGGAAGCAGGAAGAGCAATCGGGGTAAATGCCAGGTATCTGCTATCTCTACCTAAGTTTAACTATATGATTAACATGGAATACAAGTTAGTTTCTTAATAAGAACTTTTAGGGGAAAAATGATGCCATTTTTGAAAATTTTAACTTACTTCTTCCCAATCTTATGTGCTAAATCCACAGTAGGTTTTACAACTATTTCAAAAAGAGATGGGATTTTCTTGAAATCATCAGAGAGATCGGTCTGAAAATCATCTTCAGGATCAGAAAAGGGAAAATGCTCTGGTGGGGTTGGCAGAAGCCCAACTCCTGGAGGTGGTTTGGGAAGAGGAGCTATGCCCCGTTTTCTAAGTTCTTCTAATTCTCGTTCATCTTCATTTGTGGCTTCTTCTTCAGTGTTCAACACCTAAAAATGATCGGCAAAGATTACTATTCCAAAACAAGCTTTCTTCCTTACATTTAAAAACTGTGAAGACTTCAATAAACCAGTTTTGTTATTAGAAAAATATCATTTTGAAGTTAAAATGGTCAGAGAGTGCTAACTCATTTTTGATAATGAGGTTCAAAGTGGTAAAGGATATTTCTCAAAGTACATTAGCTTTTTAATGGCAGAACAAGAGTAAGAATGATTCTTAATTCCTAGTCCAATATTTCTGCTTTTCTAACACACTACATTCATAGATTAAAACATAAAATAACAAATCCTTGATTTCTCAGACTTTTATGAAATACGATTTATAAAATATGATTCAAGTCAAATGAATCTGTGGTGAGACCTAACAAATAATTGAAGTGCAAAAATATTACTTACTTTGTCCAAAAGTTTCTTTGTTTCTTTAGTCAGATCATCATGTGAAAATTTACAATTGTCTCCTTGGTAACATTTTGCTCCACTATGATAGAACTTACATGGAAATTCATGTAAATAAAAATATTAAGGAAGAGACTAAGTAAAATCAAACTCTAATATTTTTAAATCCAAAAACATAACTGTGCTGAGTCAATAAGGCTGTATTACTATATATTGTACTGAATTTTTTACAATCATGTCAGTTTAGACAATTTAATTTTTAAGATGAAATATTTCAATTACATAGCAAAACATTCAAAGATTTTAATTTTCCTTACTATATTTAGTTAGAAAATTTTTTAAATAAAAAATATAATTGTTATAGCAAATACTACAGTATGTCAATTATGTAAATTCCATTACTTTCCACAATAAAAATTGTAGACAGAGCAAACAAATTTTGTAGCAAGAGCTTGTATCAATAAAGAAAACAAAAGGGCTCAACATGTCATGTTAAAGTCAAATATCCCAACATGAAAACTATAAGCCAAGCTACATCATGATTTTGAAAACAAATTTTGAACTTCTAAAGAAAATACTAATTCCAGAAGTTTATTGAAAAATATGCCATCTTCAGGTGGTTTACGGTTCAGGGAATTCCTGTAGGGTTTTAGGAAATTTATTACTGTAATCAGCACTTTGACAAGATCAAGAGAAAAAAAATCATATGAACATAGCACAAGCTATTTTAAATTTAAAACCAAAGTAGGTTTTCTAGGGATTTTGAAAAACCTCAGTAATATTTTACAACCTCAATATTTTGATTTACACCTTTTAATAAAGGATATTATGCATATAAATGCAGTTCTCTCCTTTGGTACAATATCCTTGTAAATAAAATTTGCAGATCTCCTTTCTCTTCTCCAACTCTGCATCATGATCAAATTTACACTGATCTCCCTGTCACAAAAGAGAAAAAAGAAAGAGAAAAAAAGAAACAACTGAGTTTTTTCTTTGGTGTTCCATGGTGGAATTGTGGCCATATCTTCAGTGTTTAAATAATGATCTAATAATAATTCAAACAATCCCTTGGAAGTCTTGCCCAAGACAGTGGATGTGGCTATGTGCAGAGGCAGCACGGAGAGCATGGCCTCAGAGGCTGCTGCCTGGGTTCCACCAGCACTCATCATTTCTAGTTGAGCTACTGTGGGCACTTATTTAACCTCTTGGTTTGGCCATGTTTAAAATGGGGATAATAACAGTAACTACTTCATAGGGTTGCTGTAAAGATTAAAAATTTAATATTAATAATCTTTGAACAGTACTTGCCACTTAGCCTTATGTGTTTGTTAAATAAAATCTGAGTTCAACAAATTATATTACTGTCCCAGAATATAATTAAATGAGCTCTGATGTACAGTATTTCCATAGATACACTTTGAAGATACGTTTTGAAGAACCAGCTTTATTATTACAACTGTATGAGAAATGGAAAAAAAACAAACTAACCACCCCCAAAAAAGACTTTACATTTTAAAAGATTATTTTGGAAGTTAAAATGATTTATGATACCCCCCAAAATTTACCTTAATACATCTCCCTTCCAGAAAGTATTTACAGATTTGTTTTCCTTTGTGTTCCACTGTGTGCTGATTAATGAATTCCTGAGTCATAACCTTCCATTTTTTCCCTGGTTTACTATACTGTAAGAAAGAAAAAATCATTTGAATACAACATACGAAATATTATGTACTAAAATGGATAGTCAAATGGATTGGGAAAGCAGTACAAACTACTATTTAGAGTGGTCAAGAGCGGCCATTCAGACACTATACACTTATTTGGAGAGATACGCTTCTCATACACTGCTCACTGCTACTAGTGGTTGCAAAGAACCCTCTATTTTAATGAGGCTGTACAACTACTTTTTAAAAATAAAATTATGAAAAGCTTGAAAAATAACAATACTACTCTGTTGGTAAAGATGTTAAATGTGCATTCTTGTGATTGTTGATAGCTATGTTATAAAAGATTGATAATATCCATACTGTTTGACACAAAATTTGCACTTTTCAGGAGTATTCTGAAGGAATTATCGGGGAGGCACACATACATTTATTCACAAAAATTACTGCAGAATTACATGATAAAACAACAAACAAGCAGACAGACACCTAGAAATATGCTACACATCCCAAACAATGAGACCAGTCAAATACATTATGATGCAGATCAGTGTAGATTAGTATGAAATCATTACAAATTGATGAGATGGAAAGACAATTTAGGGACATAAGAAAATGTTCACAGTACTTTAGTAAGTGGAAAACTGATCTGAATTTTATAATAAAGACAAAGAAAAAAGACTAAAGGAATATAACCCCATGTTTAAAGTGTATGTCTCTAGATGGATCTCCAAAAAATTAAAGATATTTTGCATGTGTGGTTATTCTGTACTTCCTTTAGGAAAAAAAAAAAGAGGATGTATTTCCTTTAACTTTTAAAAAATAACAAAAAGAAGTATATGGTAGAAAATCTCACAGCCCTACCTGTTTTCCTTACTTTCTCCTTAGACCTCTATTCAACTTTTGCTATGAGTACAAGAAGATTGAGTAACAAGAGTAGGATGCTTAGCCATGCTAAGGACTTAGATTCATGAGCTCTATAAAATAGCACTGTTTTACAAACACCTGGTATGCACCATGCTTTGTATATAGCAGGAGCTCACAATAAACTATTTGCTCTTCTAATTTGATTTGTTTCCCTTTCCTTCAATTTGCTAAGGAGATGGGAGAACAATACACAACCTACTGAAAATAGGAAACTGCCTCAGAGCAAACACTTGAGGCAAAACATGGCTAGACTTAAATCTGATCCTCAGCATTCGCATTTGAAATATATGTTTTACTGTAAGAATTCTGGGGAAAAAAGTACAAAAATACCAAGAAAACAGATAATCCTATAGGTTCTTTTAAAAAATATAAGTATACCCAAATTGCCCCAGGAAAAACACAATGAAATTGCTTATACTATTCTTGATAGGATCATTTTAAATGTCTTAAATTTATGTAAATTTGACTCACAAACATTTTCTATTTCCAGGCTCATTTAGAACAAGTAGATATAAATGACCAGCTCACATATGCCTTCTGTACAAAAAATGGTGGCTATAATAAAATAGGAAGCCAAGGAGAATGCATTATACAAAACCAATAGGCCAACTTGGAGAATATAACTGAAATTGAAAAGTAAAATATTAAGTAATCACCAAAGAAAACCCAAAACCACCCTGAAAAATGCACCAAGTTGTACCTCTATTTCATCAATAACGCATTCTATGTTACTTTCTAATGATGTGCCTCATTGTTTTAATAGAGGATAGTCGGTTTTTTTGTTTTTTAGTTTAGTTTAGTTGTTGAGTTTAGTTTAAATGAGTTGAAAGTATATCAGTATCCATAACCATGAGAAACCTAATTATAATCAAGATATTCTAGAAAATCTAAAGCAGCTTTAACAATAAAATTTTAGGACAAAATAACGTGCCTAAAAGATCTGATCTTTTAAGTCTAAGCCTATAGAAGCGACACAAATGTCCTCTACCCTAACATCTCTTGTAATATAAGAGTTGGAAGAACCACAGAAGTCATTTAGTTCATCAGCCTCACTAGACAAATGTGAAAAGTGGCTATTAGAGAAATTAGTGACTTGCCAAGGGTCGTATGGCAAGTTAGCGGTCAGGACAGCTAGAACCCTTTACACTGTATCATACTACCTCTAAGAAAACACAATTCAACAAAGAGGGAGAAAAAAAAGAAAGAGGGAGAGAAAGGAAAGATGGAGAGAGGGAAAACTAAAGTACCTATTTGGTTATTTTAAAATGTATTTACTCTAGAAGATGTATTACATTGGTATAAGGAACAAGAGCATAAAATATTTTTTAAAATATATAAGGAAGAGGGAATGAAAAGATTTGCCAGCAAAATAATATATATTTACAGAAAATGTAACAGCTGTTATAAATACAAAAAAATTAAGGGAGGTTTTATGGCCAACAGAATAAATAAGTCCTTCAAATCTATCAAAAATTTACTTGTTCTATGACCACACAGAGTTTTCAAGACAGTTCATGTGGACATGCAGGTATCTGTGAATTTATCTGGCTTTGGGAGGATCTCACACTTCCTGGAAAGGATGGTAATGGATCTATGTTGGCCACTCTAGCATGTTCACTCTACCCTGGATAGGTTTCCCCCAGACCACTCCCGAATATGAGCTACTTGCTTGGGATCTGGCACTCTCCTGGTTGTTTCTGGAATCATAAGAAATCTCTCTTGACAGTCAATAAACTGACACAGTTGATAACATTTTAATCTTAGTAAGCAAAAGGAAAAATATTCTAAATCTGATAAATGCAAAAGAAATAATTTATTCTGATTTTCTATAACATGATAAAGAATCTTTTAGTTGCAATCCAGATCTGTAAACATGTTAGTGCTTGAAGGTCTCCTTAGAGTTAATTTAATACCATACTTTCATTTTACAGATTAAGCAAATTAAAGCTCTGATTCAGGTAGTAACTTGTTCAAAGCCACACTTTCTTGGAAGCTAATTTTTTTTCCAAGCATAGTGTGTACCTATTGGATATAGGAGAAAGCTTACTTTCAGACAGCATTCATATTAATTTGGTCTAGGGAAAGCAGCACACTCTAGAGGAATGTAGGAAGATGGACAGGTAGGTTACAATCACTCAGAAATTCTAAGCTTGTTTCCAAAGCTGCTATTCCATGGAATAGTGAGTGGCTCAATGAATGTTAATAAATTGGGCAGGAGTGGGGGGAAGTTCAGGGTCAAGTAAAATATGAAAACAATGGATTGAACAAAGTAAAACAGGCTTTTTTTTTTTTAAGATTTTATTTATTTATTTGAGAGAGAGAATGAGAGACAGAGAGCACGAGAGGGAAGAGGGTCAGAGGGAGAAGCAGACCCCCCGCTGAGCAGGGAACCCGATGCGGTACTCGATCCCAGGACTCCAGGATCATGACCTGAGCCGAAGGCAGTCGCTTAACCAACTGGGCCACGCAGGCGCCCTAAAACAGGCTTTTCTATACCTAACTTGCAAGAAGCCTTTAATACATTAATGTCAACTGAGAATCCCCAAGAGTAGGCTGGCATGTGCTGGGTTTCACAAATTTATTTGGGCCTGAACTTATTTTTTTAGGTCATACCTATTAACATCTCCCTAAATAGTACACTAAGGAGTACATATTAAGAAATCTTTGCCCCTTGGGGCACCTGGGTGGCTCAGTCATTAAGCGTCCGCCTTCAGCTCGGGTCATGATCCCAGGGTCCTGGGATGGAGCCCCACATTGGGCTCCCTGCTCGGTGGAGAGCCTGCTTCTCCCTCTCCCTCTCCCCCTGCTTGTGTTCCCTCTCTCACTGTCTCTCTCTCTGTCAAATAAATAAAATCTTAAAAAAAAAAAAAAGAAAGAAAGAAATCTTTGCCCCTTATCTTTAAACCCAGACATCAGAAAATCAGGCATTTTCACATTACAATATATTGCTATCCCTTTGCTCTCACTCAAGGTCGTAGCTTTTAATAACCTACCCTTGCTCTGTATAATTCAATCAATCTTACTGGAACAGTGGCAGAATACTGGATTTGGGCCACTTTAATCCCAAGAGTTGCAACAAGGCTGGAATGTACATGTTCAGAATTCAATTCGACATATATTTATTCACTATTTACTATACCCAAGGTACACAAATTCAGCTTTCCAACCATTTATAGTGCCTTTTCTTCTCTTTCACTGCTTTCAGTTCTAATAAGTTAATCTACCGCTACAGTATCTCCCTTATTAGCCATGCTTCATATTGAGCTATTAGCATTTTATTGCCCTTTGCGTCTGGGGAAGATGACTCCTAGGAAAGTAAAGTACAACAGAGAACTACTAGAATCACATTTTTGCTTTCCGACATACCAGTTTTATTTTGAGGTGCTTTCAAACACATTAATTTTATTTCAAGGTCACCTAAATTTGCATCTCTATACTAGTATCTTGACTAATTAAAACAATTCTTTTATTTCTTTTCTTTAGAATCTATTTATACTCATTTGATCTTAGCTGGAAATTTTTCATTTACTAGGAAAGGAGCATTAAAATCACAATGCTTTCTTTGCAGCCAAATAGGTTAAAAGATGGAAAAGCTCTCCTCATTATAAATTCTCAGTACCTCTTGATAGTCATCCATTCCTGAAAAAATATTAGGCCCTTTATTGGTTCTTCCCCCACGGTCTTTGCGTTTGATTTTCTTCGGCAAACCACGTCCACGACCAACATTAAAAGTTTTAACCCTCTGTTCAATACCTAAAAGAGTTAAAATGTACTTCAAATATTATAGAAAAACAACACACCTGTCAACCTATCAGTTTATAGGGAACAGCATATTTTAAATAGTCTATAATATACAGTGCATTTTTTTTCCTTCTTCTCTAGATTCAATGAAAAAAAATTAATTAAATCTTTACATTTTACTTTCCAGGTAGTGCTTCTCATTCTTTTTTTTTTTTTTTAAAGGATGTTAACAATAAGGAGGTCAAGGCACCAGAATACACATGGCTACAGAAGTCAAAGCTAGTTTTGTTCTTTTCAATTTTCCTTTGAATAGGAAATAACAAGGCTTTCTGTTTTTAAGGGAATTAAATATTATATTCATCCTTAAGGAAGACATTGTGGTTAATTTGACCAAATTGAGTTTCTAGTGATAATTCTGAGTAGGTATCACATATATTTCCAAGTAAAATTTATACCTGTCTTTTACTTTTAAAAAACTTGGCATTTAAAAGTATCTAAAATTGCAAAAATTATGTATTAGGATGGCAAGTTACTATATAGAGTCATTTCTCATTTTACCAAAGTCACAGCAAACTAATACATTTTCTTATGTAGTAAGTGTTCTTAAACCTACAAAACAGCAAATAAATATATGAAAAAATGTTTTACTTCATTAAAAGAAATAAACTAAAAGTTTAAAAATAACATACCAATTTTTATCTCAAAGAATAGTGTTGGTATGGATTTGGAGAAATTGGCATTTTCACATACTGGTGGGGTGTTATAAATTGGTCTATCAACTTTTTGGAAATCAACTTGGTATGTGGATAAAAAATTTTCAAATGCGTGGCTATATCTTTTGATTCAATTCTGCATTTCAGAATTTATTCTTAAGAAAAAATATTTGTGAAGATGCTCTTTGAGACATATATAAATATATAGGATTAATCACAGAATTAAAAAAAAAATGGGTGCAACTTAAATCTCAAGTGATTACGATCATACAAACCTAAGAATCTGTTAGACAAATTATGGTATATCTATTTAATTGAATAGAATGTTAGCATTAAAAGCTACTCATTAATGTAAGAACAATACAATTCATAGTTAAGGGAAAAAACAAGTTCAACAGTATGCATAGTTTTTTGTTAAAAATAATTGCCAGAAAAATTCTGGAAGAATGTACACCAAAAATATTAATAGTAGTTATTTCTGGGTGTAGGGATTCAAATTATTTTTGTTTTATCTTTGATCTTTGTTACTGTTTCCACACATAGAAAAAGTTTTCTGCATTTGACCATATATTACTTTCATAACTGAGGGGGGAAAATGAATGTCAAAAATAAAAGAATACTCAATTCTTTAACAGAACAAACAGGAAGAGCTTGAAAGAGAAAACCCCAGGTGGGAATGGATGAGCAAAACCTCTCTATGTTCCCTTATTCCCCAAGTGGAATGACTCCTGACACCACTATGTCTAGACTTCAGGAACAAACTTAACTAATTACAATAGCATATGCACAGACAAATTCCTTTCCTTTTTAGGTCAGCAAAGCCCGGATTCATATTTTTCAAAGGAATTTTGCTAGGAAATCAAGAAAAAATAAAGTCATAAAAATAATCGCATTTACTCATAACTGATTCCTTTTTTCAACAATATAGAAAGTATAGTAACATTGGGTTAGGGGCTCACTCCTTCACCTCAGCCTCATCTTGCTCCAGTTTTCTTGAAGCAGACATTGAGTGGACAATTTGTAAGGTTGATTTGACTTTTATGTGACCCATAGTTTCTATGGCAACTTGCCCTGGTCTCTCCAGGGATCATGTGCCTCAATACAGCAGATGAAGTGATGATCACTCGAGAAATTTCTTAGTTTATGTTCTTATTTCCAATCTTGAAGGATATCCATAATCCTAAGTATAAGTACCTTTGCACAGCAAAGATGATCATCATCTTTTAAAGTCTAATAAAAGAATAGCTCCCCAGAATTCTGTCTTTACAGGTCTAAAATATAAAGCAATGCGCAGAGTAACAGAAACAACTGAAAAAGGTAAGCCATTTTTTCAGTATACTGATATCACCGTACAAGGAAAGGGAAAAAACATAATGGGAAAGTTGTTTTACATTTTTATATACTTTAGCGTATCTTTCTAATTCAAATATGAAGATATCATGCAGACTGAAATATTCGTAGATGTTTGTCCTCAAAATCTATAAAATAAAGAAAAACAAATTCAGGAACCACGGGAATAAGCTGATCTTGAGAAGGGACTAAGAAATTTAAGTTGTTACTCCATAGCTGCCTGTTGTAATAAGGCTCTCATATTCAAAAAAGACTGGCAATTTCATACTTACCTTGCTGAGCTTTCATTCTTTGTTTTTTCCCTGGTTCTTTAGAAAATGATGATCCTAAAGCAGTAGTTGAGGTTTCTTTAGCTTGTCTGTATTGTTTCAGCTGATTGGCAAAATCTTCCTCTGTTTCCTGACTGTAGGTACCAAAGTTGTCATCACTGTATGTACTGTACTCATCATATTCTTTACTTTTAAATTTTTTGTTATGTTGACTCTTCTTTGATGTCATGTAGCTTCCTGATAAGTGTCCATGCTAAGTGAAAATGGACAGTCATTATCAGGATTTTTCAGTTAAATAAATGAATTGACAGTAATACAGGACATCTTTTTTCCCTCAGAAATTTGGAGAAAGAAGGGGAAGATAGTTGTAGTTCTAACTCTTGGTTAGTACTTGTCTATGACAGTATTTAAAGCTAAAGTATTTAAAGTTCAAAAAGCTAAATGCTACTCTGGTATTATTAAACATTCTAAAGTTCATAGATCTTGCTGGTGAGTGTGGTTTGTTCACTTTTTGTTTTCCATGTCCCATGTCTCGATATATGAGTATAAAAGCATACTCAAAAACCCACACCATTATACATGAATTCCTTCTCCAAAAAATATAGTCTTTTTGAAAATATGGAAAATACAGTAAAATAGCTTGAAGTGGAAAAAAATATATATTCTCCTAATATTGCCCCAAATGACAAATTTAAGCATTATAATTATACTTAATTAAAAAAAAATGTGTGGAAATTTTAGAAAAAGGAAATATTTATATCTGAGGCCTAACAAGGATTTCCCTAAAAGTTAAAAACATCTAGTGAAAAAATTGCTCATTAGGAAATATTTATTATACTATACATTATTAATTTTATTAATAATTTATTTTACTAAAACATATGAAAACTAAGAATATACTTTAGTCCTACAATTTTTTTTAAAGTAGCATGGAACCTAATGTGGGGCTTGAACTCACAACCCTGAGATCAAGACCTGGACACTTAACCAACTGAACCACCCAAGCACCCCTAGTCCTACAATTTTATTTAATGATAGTATTCAATTCCATCTCTATTCACTAAAATATTTGTATTAGTTCAGTCATATCTTCTGTCAAATGTTTTTAAAAGAAAGAAAGAAAAAATGCACCTAATTAGAGTGTGAAGATCTAGCAAAACCCAGACCATGACTCATCTTCAGCTTAGCACATTTTAAATATAATATAAAAATACTGTCTGCCCTGGCAGATTACCAACATGAGACTATGAGTTTTTAATAAAATGCAGGGAAATATTAAGATCTTTTCAGTAATCATAAAATAGAGAAAAAAATACTTAACTAAACATACCAAGAAAATCAATTAGCTCATCAATTTTAAATTTTAAAGATATTGTATTAGGTTTCTGACTTACTTTGAGCAGTGTTTTTGTTTTTTTAAAGATTTCATTTATTTATTTGTCAGAGAGAGAGCCCAAGCAGGGGGAGCAGCAGAGGCAGAGGGAGAAGTAGGCTCCCCACTGAGCAGGGAGCCCGATGTGGGGCTCGATCCCAGGACCCTGGGATCATGACCCGAGCCTAAGGCAGACGCCCAACTGACTAAGCCACCCAGGCGTCCCTTGAGCAGTGTTTTAGAAATTTTTTTTGTTGTTTGTTGTTTTTAAAACCAACTGTTCTCATCTAGCACTTCAGAAATTCAGAAAGGGATTTATAATTGTAGCCAAAAGGCAGTGTTTCTGACATTTTTAATAAGAAACTATGAAAATAAAATAAAAAATAATTACTTAGATTAAGGTGAAGATTAATTAATTAGTTGAATGATGTCGACTTTTCCTCTTATTAAAAAATGTGATTCCATGACATGCTAGACCAGATGGATTTAATAGATATATTCAAAACATTCCATCCTAAAACAGAGTACACATTCTTTTCAAGTGCACATGGAACACTCTCCAGAATAGATCACATATTAGCTCACAAAACAAGTCTCAACAAATTCAAAAAGATCAAAGTTATACCATGCATCTTTTCTGACCATAATACATTATGAAACTAGAAACCAATCACAAGAAAAAATCTGGAAAGAGCACAAATACATGGAGGTTAAATAAGATGCTATTAAACAATGAGTGGGTCATCCAAGAAATCAAAGAAGAAATAAAAAAAATACATGGAGACAACTGAAAATGAAAACACAATGGTCCAAAATCTTTGGGATGCAGCAAAAGCAGTTCTAAGAGGGAAGTTTATAGCAATACAAGTCTACCTCAAGAAGCAAAACAAAACAAAACAAAAAACTCAATAACCTCACCTTATACCTAAAGGAGTTAGAAAAAGAACAAATAAAACCAGAAATCAACAGAAGGAAGGAAATAATAAAGATTAGAGGAGAGGGGCGCCTGGGTGGCTCAGTTGGTTAAGCGACTGCCTTCGGCTCAGGTCATGATCCTGGAGTCCCGGGATCGAGTCCCGCATCTGGCTCCCTGCTCAGCAGGGAGTCTGCTTCTCCCTCTGACCCTCCCCCCTCTCATGCTCTCTCTATCTCATTCTCTCTCTCAAATAAATAAATAAATAAAATCTTTAAAAAAAAAAAAAAAGAAATGGGCAGAAAGATTAGAGGAGAAATAAATGATATAGGAAACTAAAAAAGCAACAGAACAGATCAATGAAACCAGGAACTGGTTCTTTGAAAAGACAACAAAATTGATTAATTCTCTAGTCAAACTCATTTAAAAAAAAAAAAAAGACTCAAACAAAATCAGAAACAAAAGAGGAGAAATAACAACCAATACCACAGAAACACAACAGACTGTAAGAGAATAAATATTATGAAAAATATGCCAACTAACTGGAAAACCTAGAAGAAATGGGTAAATTCCTAGAAACACATAACCTACCAAAACTGATCAGGAAGAAAGAGAAAATTTGAACAGACTGATTACTAGCAATGAAATTGATTCATTAATCCAAAAACTCCCAATAAACAAAAGCCCAGGATCCAGATGGTTTCACAGGTGAATTCTACCAAACATTTAAAGAAGAGTTAATACCTATTCTTCTCAAACTTTTCCAAAAAATAGAAGAGGAATAAAAACTTCCAAATTCATTCTATGAGGCCAGCGTTATCCTGATTCCAAAATCAGATAAAAACACCACCAAAAAAGAGAACTACAGGCCAATATCTCTGATGAATATTTATGCAAAAATCCTCAACAAAATATTAGCAAACCGAATCCAACAATACATTAAAAATATCATTCATGACATTCAAGTGGGATTTATTCTTGGGCTGCAAGGGTGATTCAATATTCACAAATCAATCACTGTGATACATCAGATCAGTAAGAGAAAGGATAAAAACCGTATGATCATTTCAATAGAAGAAGAAAAAGCATTTAACAAAGTACATCCATTCATGATAAAAATCCTCAAGAAAGTAGGTTTAGAAGGAACATACCTCAACATAATAAAGGCCTTATATGAAAAACCCATAGCTAACATCATCCTCAATGGGGAAAAACTGAGAGCTTTCCCCCTAAGGTCAGGAACAAGACAAGGATGTCGACTCTCACCTCTTTTATTCAACATAGTACTAGAAATCCTAGCCACAGCAATCAAACAAGAGAAAGGAATAAAACGCACCCAAATTGGTAAGGAAGAAGTAAAATTTTCACTATTTGCAGATGACATGATACTATATATAGAAAACTCTAATGACTCTACCAAAAAACTACCAGAATTGATAAATGAATTCATTAAGGTCACAGAGCCTACAAAATCAATGTACAGAAATCTGTTGCATTTCTATACACTAATAATGAAGCAGCAGAAAGAGAAATTAAGAAAACAATCCCACTTACAGTTGCACTAAAAATAATAAAATACCTAGGAATAAACTTAACCAAAGAGGTGAAAAATCTGTACTCTGAAAACGATAAAACATTGATGAAAGAAATTGAAATTGAAGATTAGGGGTGCCTGGGTGGCTGTCGGTTAAGCGTCTGTCTTCAGCTCAGGTGGGATCAAGCCCCACACTGGGCTCTCTGTTCAGCGGGGAGTCTGCTTCCCTGCCCCCCACTCATGCTTGCCCCTTCTTGCTCTCTCCCTCTCTGAAATAAATAAATAAATAAAATCTTAAAAAAAAAATAAATTGAAGATGACACAAACAAATGGAAAGACATTCCATGCTTATGGATTGGAAGAACAAATATCATTAAAATGTTTATACTACCCAAAGCAATCTATAGATTTAATGCAATCCCTATCAAAATACCAAGAGCATTTTTTACAGAACTAGAATAAACAATCCTAAAATTTATATGGAACCACAAAAGACTTCGAGTTGGCCAAAACAATTTTGAAAAAGAAAACCAAAACAAAACTGAGGTATCACAATTCCAGACTTCCAGTTATATTACAAAACTGTAGTAATCAAAACAGTATAGTACTAGCACAAAAACAGACACATAGATCAATGGAACATAATATAAAGCCCAGAAATAGCCCCACAATTATATGGTCAATTAATCTTTGACAAAGGAGACAAGAATATGCAATGGGAAAAAGACAGTCTTGGGGCACCTGGGTGGCTCAGTTAGTTAAGCGTCTGCCTTCAACTCAGGTCATGATCCCAGCGTCCTGGGATCGAGCCCCACGTCGGGACTTCCTGCTCAGTGGGGAGTCTGCTTCTCCCTCCCCTTCTACCCCCCCACTCATGTTCTCTCCTGCTCGTTCTGCTTTCTGTCAAATAAATAAATAAATAATCTTTAAAAAAAAAAGAGAGAGAGAGAAAAGAAAGTCTCTTCAACAAATGGTGTTGGGGAAATTGTGGACAGATACACGCAAAACACTGAAATTGGACCACTTTCTTACACCATACACAAAAACAAACTCAAATGGATTAAGGACCTAATTGTGAGACCTGAAACCATAAAAATCCTAGAAGAGAGCACAGGTAGTAATTTCTCCGACACTGGCTGTTAACATCTTTCTAGATGTGTCTCTTGAGGTAGGGGAAACAAAAGCAAAAATAAACTGTTGGGACTACATCAAAATAAAAAGCTTCTGCTCAGCAAAGGAAACAACGAACAAAACTAAAAAGACAACCTACTGAATGGGAGAAGATATTTGCAAATGACGTATTTGATAAAGGGTCAGTATCCAAAATATATAAAGAACTTATCAACTCAACATCAAAAAACAAATCATCCAAAAAAAATGTGACTCATTAATTCTTCAATGATACCTTTAAAGAGTATGAATTTTTCTCTCAGA